GATAGATAGATAGATAGATAGATAGATAGATAGATAGATAGATAGATAGAGTTTAAATACGCTTGTAGCTTCTAATCCAAAATATAATATAGAGCTGGTTTGGGTTTTGTTCATGACTTCAAAGTCTTTTAGCCTGAAGACGTTTTTGAAACCCCTATGGTGAAAATAAATGGGAAAAATACATTCAGAACAAAGGCAGCTGAAAAAGTGGGCACTCACTGTTGGGCTCTATTGGCTGAGGCAATTTCATGTTCTGAGGAAAAGCAGTGCTTTGTTTCATGTTGCATTGATATTTAACATTGTAACAGTCAGAGCCATGATTTATGAGTCCCGCAGAGTTGACCAGCAACTTCATCCTCTGCAGTGAGGATGCAAGAATTGATTAGGCTAAGTGTTGCGGTTGGAGAGGAAAGAGGATTTCTGGAGCTTAGAGGCAATTTAAGTGGTGATAAAACCAAACGTCTACATGATGGAACGATTATTTCATCCTAAAGAGTGCTGCTGAGGATCTCTGACACTTGTTCATTTGTTTGCTCGTCCGAATCCACGTCCTGAGCTTCTGCTGTAGTGCCATATCCCGATCCAGCATCTCTGGCTGTAGCTCCTCTCGATCCCGTGTCCTCCTCCTCCCAATGCGGGGCATCTCTGCAGGGTGACGTCTTGCTGCACGACTCCACAAAGATCCTGCGAACGTTGGGCTTAGACTCCCTGTAGGGCGGTCTGTACTCATCCAAACTGTAGGAGGTAGTGGGCGAGTGCGGTAGGGAGAGTGGCGTCTCCAGCGGCAGGTCGATATCGCTCTGTCTGGTGTAGATGCCTTCAGATAGCGAGGGAGTGTGACTCTCGCTCTGTACACGCAGCCAGCGGTGCGGCCCGCCAAAATAACTCCTCTGGGGATGGCTTTTGGACAGCAGCTTACGTTTCGTTGGTGGATCGGCCAGGAACTTGCAGCGGGATGGCTTGTCTGTGGTCTTCACAGAGTATGTAGACAGCGATAGGTCCTCCATGTCCTTAGTGCACGATTCGGTTTCCAGGATGGACTTGGAGCAAGCGCTGTATTTGAGATCATGCATCTGAAGAACATCAGGAGCGCTACCGCTGAGGACGTGCACGGCCTGATGGGAGAGATCCTGGGCTGAGGAGTAAACTAAGTCCAGGTCACGAGGGCTCAGAGCGTCACTGGAGTCGTAGTCACTGTCTGTGGGGAGAAAGACCTCCGAACAGCCCTCTTCATCTGAACCTGGTTGGGACTCTGCAAGAGATGGGGATGGAAATAATAGGTCCATTGGAATTAATAAGCATAATATTGCTTATCCATTTTAATAATAAAATAAACATTTTAAAAGGACAGTTCTGCCTCTAAAATCTGATTGGACGAACAATGTGCAAAATTACGTGTGGAAAAGCCGATGTACAGCACTGTTCAAAAGTTTGGGGTCGGTTAGAAAGTCTCGTGCTCCTCAATACTGCATTTATTTGATTAAAAATACAGTCAAAATAGTAATATTGTGAAATATTATTTCCATTTAAAATAACTGTTTTCTATTTCAATATATTTAAAAACGTAATTTATTCCTCTGAAGGCAAAGCTACATTTTCAGTGTCACAAACATTTCTTATTATTATCAGTGATGAAAATAGTTTAGCTAACTATTATTTAATATTTAATAGCTAATATGTTTTGTAGAAACAGTGATAAATTTTTCCCAAAAGTGCAGAACTTATTTGAAATAGCTTTGCTGCCACTTCACATCAGTTTAATGCATCCTTGTTAAATAAAAGTATTAATTTCTTAAAAAAATAAAATCAAATAAATAAATTGAAACTTAATGACCCAATCTTTTGAATGGTAGTGTATATTTATAATATAGATAAATGTACTGTGACATTGCACATACTAAGCATTATATAATGTAATAATATTTGTTAAATTTATTAAAAAGTTAATATAAAGTTATATCTATGTTTTATAGTGTGAAGGATTCACAAAAACAGTTTTCATTTATTCAGTATTTTAATGTGGCAGGTCGTTGAATACACATCCTCACACATAATGGAATAATTATAAATCTTGAGAAATGTGGAATATAAAAGAGAGAAAATAAAAGTAAAAACACCCAGCAGACAGGCAATATGCAATTTATTGCACACACTGAACCACATAAGTAATAATATTTAAGTGGGCTTAATAACATCTGTTTTTAATTCATGTTTTTAATTTACTTAATACTAGGGCTGTCAGTCGATTAAAATTTACAATCTAATTAATTACATGATGTTAAGATTTATTAATCTAATTAATCGCAAAATAAATTTGACTGTGAAAATATCCACAAAAGATTAATTAAAGCTAGTTTTGTGTAAAATGAGAAAGTATCAATTAGACATTACAAATTGTAGAGTTTTTTCAACATAAAATGTATTACACAAACATTTAGGCTACAACGGCCTAACATAAACTATTGAACATAAAAGAAGATCATTTGAGAAACATCTCAGTATTTATGTTCATACAACGAAAGTCATTGGTAACCAAAACAGCTTTGTTACCAACAGTCTTGAAAATACCTTCTTTTATGTTCCACAAAAGAAAGAATGTCATTCAGGTTTGAGTAAATGATGACAGAATTAAAAATATTTTTTGTGAACTATCCCTTTAATGTTATTATTATTTTAAATTAAATAATACTCTAAATAAGAAAATAAATCTGCCAGCAGGTGGCGGTAATTGTCTTCATTCGATTCGTTCAAACAGCTGATTCCTTCAGGAATTCAGTAAACGACTCTCTTTATGAATGGGTCTTTGAATCATTGATTCACATGATGCATTCAAAACGTGGATTCATTCAGCAACTAAACACCGCTGTGTTACTCGGAGATGCAACAGTTCTGCTGTGGCTTTAAAGGTAATATATTCTCTGCAAAATTGAACAAAAACATAATATTCTGTTTAAAATATAACACAATATCAACTTCTTATTTACTGAACTGTTGTATAAAATCACATTTAAACTTGTGATATTCAGGACAAAATCACTCATGTGATATTGCTCTCGCCGATATAAATATGAGACAAAAACTCATACAGGGCCATTTTTTGCCCCAATATCTTTAATTTTAGAGCATAACTGCATTTATGGAGTTGTTTTCCTGCATCATGTTTGTCAACAGTCAACTGTATGAAATGTAAGATGACGTACAAGTCTGGGGGCGGGGGCCAGTGCGTTAACAGCATTAAAATATTTTAATCGCGTTATTTTTTCATAGCTAATTAATTAAGTTAACGCGTTAAACTGACAGCCCTACTTAATACATTCAAAACAAATGTAAAGGCGTATTTGATCAGAACTGCATGGTTTTTATTTTTTAAGAATGCATTGAGACACTGGCCAGTCTGGGTATTATTAAATCATTAATATTTCATAACAATAAGTGTGCTGAATTATAATTAAGTCGATACACTGATTTATTTCCTGCAGAAACTTTCTTTTGTGCCGTCAACAAATCCCACATTCTCACTACTGCAAATATAATACATATTTGAATGTAACACAGACACGCAGCCAAGCACGACACATATTTTTATGCCTGGATGAAAGGCAGCTATTGAAAAACAGCATTTACCGATTGTGGGCTTTCGTCTCCTCATTTCTGGAGAGGGCGAGGGAGTGGGCACGTCGTCTGTGTTAGAGGACATGGAGTCATTCTTCTGGACAGGAGGCTCCACGCTGACATCTACTAGCCAGGTGATAGGCACCCAACCGAGAGGCTGTTTATAGCGGGCGTGCTGCAGGGCATTGGTGATCCAGCGGACGTCTCGCCACATCTCATCCAATTGCTTCAAACACACAAAGGAAAAAAACAAAGCGAGGTTGAGTGCGCTGTTATTTCATTGGAAATGCTGAAAATAAGGTTAGCTTGAAAACTAAAGGGTGCTATTTAAATGTTGATTCGATATAAATGCAAATCACAGCTTTCAGTGTGAGAAATGTGGTATTTCCCCCACACAAACCTCGCAAGCGTTTTCCCCACAAACATCACAAAGCTTTTCAAACCATTAAAGCGCATCACACAAAAGCTTCAAAAGGAGGCCACAGCAAACTTGCTGTGAAGTCTGAAGGGGCATGACCGTGACTAATATCATAATTTATTTTGTGTCATCATCCTCTGTTCACCAATCACAGCACGTCAGAGCTGAATTGTACATATTGCTCCTGTTTAGTGTGCAGAAGCGAAATGAGAGGTAAAATGTGTTTTCAATCAGAGCTGTTAACCTGCAGTGAATCTTCACAACTACCACTTTCATATTTTCCATCCTTGGGACGTACTATAGCAATTGTATTTACAAGGAGCTTATTTCAAATTGGAAGGAAAAAGGCTGTACAAAAATGAAGCAGGGTAGACGAAAAAAAAAAACTGCAATCTGAGCTCTTTCTAGCAAATGCCATGTGAGATCCAGCTTATGGGAATGAGCCTTGACACCACAGGATGACTCCTTTAGGACGTACTATAGCAATTGTATTTACAAGGAGCTTATTTCAAATTGGAAGGAAAAAGGCTGTACAAAAATGAAGCAGGGTAGACGAAAAAAAAAAAACTGCAATCTGAGCTCTTTCTAGCAAATGCCATGTGAGATCCAGCTTATGGGAATGAGCTTTGACACCACAGGATGACTCCTTTGGAAAATATGCTGGGCTTCTAATGACAAAGAGGGGACTCCAGTATGACAAGGGCAATAATATGAGTTTCTTTAAGTTGCGAAATAGACTACTTCAACTAATAAATGTTTGGCTGATGCTGCTGGCTGGGAAATATTACAACAAATTAGGGGAAAATAAGAATAAATAGTCAGGGTGGCTTATATCATACCCAGTGCTCCAATATAGCAGCTCTAAACCCAAAAATGAATCACAGGTCTGTTCTGATAGGGCCATGGACAGCAGGGAAAAATCATGTTAAATGGAAATAATAAAAATTTAACTGACCATATAATTGAGCATTTTTAGGATAGCAAAATGAATATGCCTGACCATTATTAAAGGGATGAGAAAATGTTTTCCCTTTCATGTGCGTCAAAGGCTGTGCAGTCAAACTCAACAGTATTTTGACGCAAAATATTTGGCGAAAAAATTTTTTTTTTTTAAATACTAGAGAGATCCAACATGGACAGGCTGCTTGTCAGCCATTCCAATAGGGCCGTGGACTGCATGGATGGGGATAATAAAATGCAACTGACCATATAATCATGCATATTTAGGAGAGCAAAATGAATAGGCCTGACCGTTAACAGAGATGAGAAAAGGCTTCTCGTTTTTATATGCATCAAAGGCAGTGAAATCAAACTTAACAGTATTTTGATGCATAATAAAAAAAATAATTTAATATTAGACCAATGCAACACAGAGAGAGACAGGCTGCTTTATCCTGAAGCTATTAAAAACAACAACAAAGTAGAAGAATACATGACTCGTATTACAATAAATAAAGGTTCAGTTCCAAGGAGAATAATAATTGGTTTGCGTCAAGTATAATTTGTTTTGTGTAGTGAGTTATCGGCTGTCAACGAAAACATTAAAATTCAAGAGATATTTCGAAACTAACAGTGAATGTTCCTTCTCAGCCTGTCATGTTAACAATTTTAGTGTTAGATTTAAGGACATTTTTGTTCATGTTTGTATCATACACAACTTTGGTATCCTCTTGGTTCACCACTTTATGCCCATAGTAAAATCTGGGCCCTGAACTAACTCTATAGCAGTTGAGTAATATCAGATTAACTAGTAGTTTATTTCACTCACATTATATAGCAGCAAACTTGTAAATCTGCCAACTTAAAGCCAAAAAGTTGCATTTGAGTGTCATGGAATCTCCGTCTCAATGACACATCTCGCCACATGCATCTAAAACACGCATATTTTGCAGTCTGCCGTTAGCTCTTTGAGAGGACCTCACAGCGATATAAACCTGCCCACTCGCACGAGAGCAGAGCGCAAAGCACTTTCCACCACCATGCCACTCTGACAGACGTGGCTCTTTCTGGTTCGCCACCTCCTGGAACATTAAGGTTTTCACGCTAATTGATGCCACATTGCTCAGCCCCACACACACATTCATGCAGTCACACTCATTGATCGGTATTATTTTTTCCCCTCGTCGCTCTTAGGCGCTGTGTAATCTGTGGTCAGTGTGCTGCTTTTTTCCAGTGCCTCTTGGACCTGACATCACACAAACACTCTTGTGGTTTTGTGGTCAATCTCAATTAATCGTCCAGACCGGGGTGGCGGAGAGGGATTATTTCAGACTGGCACACTTAACACACGCCTGTCTTTCAAGTCGAATTGTGAGAGAGTCTGCTGAGCTGTTATTGAAATTTCGACACAAGAAAAACAACTTGTTTTACAGTTTATAAGTCTAGTAGTTATGCTTTATGACATCAATAAACTATCCTAATTGGATTATTAGTTTAAATTGTTTTTGTAGTTTGATGTTTCCAACACTCCCAAGCGGCTGGGAATAAACATGTGATCCTCAGGATTGAAACATGAATGACGTATTGCTAAAAGTTGTAATTGAAACAACACGAATGTGGCTAATAAAAGGGAATGAAGCAGTAAAGCATAATTTCAGATAGTGTATAAAATACAAAATAGCAATAAAACACCACCATTGCATTATCCTAAACACCTGTTTGTTGCGCATACTATTACACATACTGCATGTTTTGACCTATGAAGTCATTGCATTGACATTGCATTAACAAGACTGAAATGACCACATGCAATACCAATCAAAAGTTGGGGATCAGTCAATTCCTGAAAAATTATTTATCAGTTTCCACAAAAAAAATATTAAGCAGCACAATTATTTTCAAATTTGATAATAATAAGAAATTTTATTTGAGCACCAAATCAGTATATTAGAATCATTTCTGAATAATTTCTAATCATGTGACACTTAAGACTGTATTAATGGCTGCTGAAAATTTTGCTTTGCCATCACAGGAATAAATTAAATTTTAAAACATATTCAAATGGAAACTAGATATTTTAAATTGTAAAAATATTATTGTTTTTATTGCATTTTTTTGACCAAATAAATGCTGCCTTAGTGAACATAAGAGACTTATTTCAAAAACATTAATAACAGTAGTTTACTTCTCCTTTTTTCAAGGTTATTAGTCAATAGTTTTTCAGTGACTGCTGAAAATGCGAAAGCTTATTATTTAGTGTAAATTCCCTGTTGTAGATCAAAAACACCACCGAAAACACTGTTAAGCTTGGCTAAGGACGAAGATGCAAAATGCCTGCAGTGCAACAAATTACTTAAATTGGGAGGAAATGGATTTGTTGTGATGGATGTGCAAAGTGGGCTCACACTGAGTGCACCAATCACAATGGAGATTCATTTGCAAATGATTCCTGAACTAACATAGTTCCAAGACGTACAACAAGTTGTGCTAAACACAAAATAACACAGATCTTATAAAACATCTATTTAAGAGTGAGATTTAAGTGAAGAAATTAGAAGAAAATGCTACATGTTCAAATCATGTATTTAGCTTGAACAATCACCCAAAAAGATATTGCTACAGAAAGAGTTTGCATATGGTGACAAATTATTTTTTTGTATTATATTTATGAGTCCAAGCCTTTATTAAGTACTTGGTATTTTTTGTAAAAAAGAAACCATAAAATAAGCTAAAAAATGGCATTGCTCCATCAATACATTCCATATAGAGCTGAAATAAATTATGTAAAAATATAATTTTTAAAGGGGTGGTTGATTGCGATTTCACTTTTTTAACATTAGTTAGTGTGTAATGTTGCTGTTTGAGCATAAACAATATCTGCAAAGTTACGAAGCTGAAAGTTCAATGCAAACGGAGATATCAGGCTTTTAAAATTCTGGCAGTTTAATGCCTACAAAAATGGCTGGTAGGGACTACAAGTTACTTCCCGGGTTTGTGACGTAACAATCCCAGATAAACCCCGCCCACGGGAAAAGGCAGCAAAGGGGGCGAGGCCATGCTGCGCTGCTTTAGAGAAGAGGAAGAGAAAACTAGAGGTGCACGTAAAAATCTATTCATATATGAATCACGATTCTGTCTTCTAACAATAACGGATTCACAAGTTTCAAAATCAATGTTTTAAAGAAGCAGTACTTAATACTGTTCCTCACATTCCCCTGCTCTGCATCTCTCTCTCTCTCTCTCTCTCTCGCTCTCTCTCATTCAGCTCAGCTCCAACAATGAACTGTTTCAATTATACACTTATTTTCACATAGCTATGAGAAGCGTTATACATGGACGCCAAGACGACAGATTCTGAGGGAGGGGCTTCATAAAAGCAGGAAATTATCAGCGCGTTTCTCAGAGAAGGGATAGAGCAGTGTGGAATAAAGGTAAATTATGTGAAAAAGAATGCGGGTTTTTTTAACTAAGCATTAACACATGTTAGACTGCACCCCATAAACACAATCAAACATAGAAAAAAAAACAGTAACCAGTGAGTCCAGGCCTTTATACAGTACTCAACAGTAAAAAAAAATTTGTGCACCATCAATATTCAATAAAATACTGTACTACATTATGTGAAATTACATTATGTGAAATTTAATTTATACAGAGAAATCTTTTTTGTTTATCGTATAATTTGGAGTAAGGGAGAGGAAAAAAATTACAAATCACATTACCCTTCACAGAACATACCTGAATGTAGTCCAATATGTGCTGGTGTCTCTGTTTGGCTGTGGACACCTCTGAGTCAGTAATGGCCTCTCTAAAAGCCTGCTGGGTAATTAGAGCGTCCAGGTCCAGCACTGAGGACAGCCGGCAGTAAAGACTGATAAATTTCTCCTTATATGAGCAGAAGTGAACTGCACATGGGAGACAAAAAATATATAATACCACACTTAGTAATGGACACTGTCATGTAAGGGCAACTCTAGACAGATATTATTGCATTTTTCAAATTGACTTCACTGGGTGGTGTGCGCGTGAAATTGAGACCCAAGGAAGGTTATCATTAATGTCCGAAAAAACACTGACGAATCTTTTTAAAAGATGTTTTTGTAATGGAAATCTGTGGGTGGTTTACAAGTGTATGGTGTTTGGGTTGAAACTACCTCACAGTATAACGTTTAAAAAGTTGTTTGAAACTCTCCCCACAACAGCAGCTGAATAAGCTACTAAGTGTTCTAACTGGCACCACTGCTAAGCATACAAGCACACTGAAAACAAACCCTGCTATTTGAAAGAAAATGATCTGCCGTTCTTTAAAACACATTTTATTGAATTATAATATTGATGACTTGTTTAACCTTTCCTTATTTTACACAGTCTGGGCTCAGCAAGGGGGGGTGGGTGGCTGTTTGGCTAGCCGTGGTGCGCACAGCCACCCCGCTGGTGTCTGCATGTGTGTGTGTCTGCTTGATTTACTAGAGGTCCTAAGGGAGTGTGACTGGGGGCAGAGGGGGGAGGAATCGGTGGATTTTTATAAGGCCAACTGAGCTAATATTGTAGGGGTTGAAACAGAAGCCAGTGTACCTAGCTCAAACATTTGAAGAGGGAGGTTGAGGAACCCCGAGTGTGGTGTGTAGGGGTTGGTCTGTCCCGGGGCAGAGCAAACGTCGTCTGAGGCGGGCAGCAGCAGAAGAAAGGACACATTGTGACCCAGCTCCAACACCTCGTGTGTGTAGAGACGGAAGTGCTTGGCCTGTGCACGACACACAGAGACACACACACACTTTAACCCACAGGGGTCAAAGGGTAACAATGTTATGCCGTAACTAAGTAGCGAGCAAAAATTCCTAAAACTCAGTAGTACAGACAAAAAGTTACTCTTACAAAACTATGGTAACCACAATTTATCTGTATTATCTATAGTATAGTATAGCACAATCTATTCATAGTATGTCTATCTATCTATCTATCCATCTGTCCTTCCATCCATCCGTTTATCTATCATCCATTCATTTGTCCCCTCCATCTAACCATTCATTCATTCATCCCCTCTATCTATCCATCTGTCTTTGTCTAACATCTGCTTATCCATCTATTCTTCATCCGTTTATTCATCTATCCATCCATTTATCCATCCATACTTCCATTTATCAATCCATCCATCCATCCTCTCTATCCATACATCTTTGCCTATCCATCTGCCTATCCATCCATCCATCCATTCGTTTATCTATCCATCCATTAATCTGTCCCCTCTATCTAACCATCCATTCATCCATCCATCCATCCATCCCCTCTAACAATCTAAAAGTGTTTGCCTATCATCTGCCTATCCATCTATCCATTCATCCATCCATCCGTCCGTCCGCCCATCCCCTCTATCCATATTTCTTTGTCTATCCATCTGCCTATCCATCCATCCATCCATTCGTTTATCTATCCATCCATTAATCTGTCCCCTCTATCTAACCATCCATTCATCCATCCATCCATCCATCCCCTCTAACAAAAAACGAGATCATCCATAACGTCTGCCTATCCATCTATCCATTCATCCATCCATCCGTCCGTCCGCCCATCCCCTCTATCCATATTTCTTTGTCTATCCATCTGCCTACCCATCCATCCATCCATCCATCCGTTTATCTATCCATCCATTAATCTGTCCCCTCTGTCTAACCATCCATTCATCCATCCATCCCCTCTAACAATCTAAAAGTGTTTGCCTATCCATCCATCCATCCATCCGTCCGTCCATCCATCCCCTCTATCCATATTTCTTTGTCAATCCATTTGCCTATCCATCCATCCGTCCGTCCATCCATCTCAAAGTATTCCCACTTTTAACACTACTAGTTTTATATAAGCTTTAAACTTAAATCGCTCTTTTCAAACAACTTAAGTACGCAAACTGAGTAACACCTAAATAACTTGAGCTATTTTAACCATTTTAAAAATAACAAATATTGATAAACTTTAATTTCTGATGATTGTGGTGCTTTTCACCAAGTTACCACAGACTTGTCCTGTAGACTACAGTACCTGGTGGAGAGGTAGATTGATCTGGTGCAGCAGACCCTTAATGGCCGTCTGGAGCTCAGAGAAGAGGAGGCAGTCTGTAGCCTGATCTGCTGTTTCCACCTCCACAGGGCCAGACAGTGACTGCAGCCATTCCCACTCATCCCTGGGTGGGAAGAGACAGCGTTTAGTCAACATACACACAGCTCTATATTACTCTTTCCAGAAGAGCCCTCGACAGAGTGGTTTCAAAAGGCTAGTGGGATGGCATGTCAGGTCTGATTTTGAGAGTAAGGTTTGGTGTGATGCTTGTGACCGACCACTCAACAACTTTTCTTTTAATATGAACATGCTACACTAAGAAAAGTACTAGTTTAATGTCCAAAAATGCTAAAACGGACACCTAGGAAAATGACAACCCTTGGGCATTTGCAAATTATTGCAGAGAGAGTTTAAAAATAACTGAATTAGGTTTTACATTATTATCTGCGTGAAAATATCCATAAATCATGTTAGCAAATTATAGAGAAAACCAGATTTTTACAGTGAGGTAAAATTATTTAAAATTAATTTAACTTTATATAGATTTCATAAAAACTGAGAGGATGAAAAGCATCAGCTCACGGTACGCGGTTAAGATGACGGAGCAAAATATAAAGTATTTTTGTCTTAGTCTCAAGGACACCCTCAATGCTAGCGTCTAGGGGGCAAATTATAGAGAAAATGCTCCAGAGGTTTTCCTCGAGCCGTGAGTGGGCATCATCCTGTGTGAACCTCCCACAGTCCGGCCCCGTAGTAAATTTAGTTTTACTACCACACAGAGCTGCAGGATAATACTCTCCCTGTCTCTTCTTTTAATATGAACATGCTTCACTAAGAAAAGTACTAGTTTAATGTCCAAAAATGCTAAAACGGACACCTAGGAAAATGACAACCCTTGGGCATTTGTAAATTATTGCAGAGAGAGTTTAAAAATAACTGAATTAGGTTTTACATTATTATCTGCGTGAAAATATCCATAAATCATGTTAGCAAATTATAGAGAAAACCAGATTTTTACAGTGAGGTAAAATTATTTAAAATTAATTTAACTTTCTATAGATTTCATAAAAACTGAGAGGATGAAAAGCATCAGCTCACGGTACGCGGTTAAGATGACGGAGCAAAATATAAAGTATTTTTGTCTTAGTCTCAAGGACACCCTCAATGCTAGCGTCTAGGGGGCAAATTATAGAGAAAAAGGAGAATTTCTTTGCTCCAGAGGTTTTCCTCGAGCCGTGAGTGGGCATCATCCTGTGTGAACCTCCCACAGTCCGGCCCCGTAGTAAATTTAGAGCTGCAGGATAATACTCTCCCTGTCTCTAGCTACCTACCAAGGGGCCAGGCTCTGTCTCAGCCACCGGACGTCTTCCCACATACAGGACAGCTGCAAAATAAACACACACTCACACTTGTGAAGTTGGAGGAAGCTATTTACCTAATTCCTCAACATCATTCAAAGTCTGTGCATGAATGCCAGAGTGCTTTATCTTCAGTGAGGCGACATCCCTGCTATAAGGTGCTTTAGATGGAAAAGTGCATCCTTCTTTGAGACGAAACCATCTGGGCCTGACTGTTTAACCTTCAAACTATTTTAAACTTGGAGACAAGGTTTATCAAGCCAACATTAAAATTTGCCTTGACGAACTTTCATTTTTTAGTTGCATATTAGGAGACAAGTTGTAAAATAAACATTTGGATTCGGACATGAGCGCTTAAAATGCTGCAAGGCTCGTTCTGTGAGTATAACTTTACCTCCAATCTCACCATAAAATCTAGAAGTATTTGGCCATCAAACAAAGAGCTATATTCTGCTAAGACTCTCTCTGCTTCTTGCATCACACCACTCTAGCCTTGTAATGATGGGCTAATTACAAACGAGCGGCCTAACGTCAAAAGTGTGGTGACTGTTCACTTTGACAGAATATATTTAGGACGCTATGCTGACCGCAGGCTGCATTTTGAAGAAACCAACAAAAATATTGACACTTGTCAAAGAGATGTGTAACGAAAACATAGAAAATGTATGTTTCAGTTCAGCGTTAACAAAACACGTTACTTTAGTGCAGTATCTCCGTGCTGACCTCTCCGCTGCTTAATGTCGCGGTTGACTGTATGTTTTTGCATACCTTGGTGAACCACAGAAAGTCCTGCATGAGGGAGCTGCTGTATGAGTCGTCCACCTCCACTATGGGGATCTGATCCTCATTAGTCACTAGCAGACTGTCCTTATGGTAAAATACTGATGCTATATAAACTCCCCTGAAGAAAAAAAAACAGCCAAGAGAACCTATTCAGAACCAGGTGAATTCAGCTATAATGTCAATTCTATAATGCTAGGCACTTTCCAAGAATAGAGTACAAAATAGGCTCTGAGATTCCTAAAAAGGGCTCTTTGTTTCTATTTCAGCAAATATTTAGTGATATGTGTTTCTTAAAGTTTAGATAAAAAAGAAAATATTACATTTATATTTTACATACCGTATATTCATTAGCAGAGATACCAAAGCAACTTAAAAATGAGCAGTACAACAAAGCAGTATTATAGTACATTGTAATAATTATACCAGTTTTATTTTCTAATCATTAGAAAAGTTTATAAAAACGTTTACCGTTTTTGCAACTCTTGCCATTAAATGTTGTTTAAAACCATAGACAATTTTTTTACTGATAATTTAGTATCACAATTAATTATAAATAAATGATAATTATAAAAAAAGGCATTATAAAGGCAAAATATACTGTTATTTATGGCCAGATTTACTAAACAGGGCAAATTAGCATTACAGCGTAACTCCATAAAAGCACAGATGGGAGTGGAAAATTCTGCGAGTGATTTACTGACAAGGCGCACATTAAAGAACACAGAAGCAACATCTTATTTCCATAATGACCAGCGCAATCTACCAAGAGCAGCACAAATTACCGCCTGCTTTAGGACATGCTTTTTTTGGCGTTAAATAATGGCGCAAATACCAATAATTTCATGAACGCAAACATTAGTAAATCACGTTGCGCGATTAATTTTAATACTCTCCTCCCGTAAATTTTGCGTCTGAAAGGGAAACTCCTACAAATGCATATTCAATAAGGTCAGGCCCAAAAATAACTGTGAGCACTAATTCATCACTGCGCGTCTTTAGTAAATCCTGACAGTACTATTTTAACGCCAAAAGATGGTTTGCGATGGCCCAAGCTGTTAGTAAATCTGGCCCTTAATCATTAATTCAAAACATTCTTTATTTATCAGACATTGTTGTTTGATTTTGATTGCTGTATTCAGTTGAAAAGGTCAAAAAGACCTGAGGTGGAAAAGGCCAAATTACCATTTTAAGGCTGAGGATAGAAACATTTCATGTGGTCAAAACTACTTTCATGCACATGTCTAAAAGTGTAACAATACAATAATAACCATTTATGCTTCTAATGCTGTAATAAAACTAATGTGACACCAATATGTAATCTATCTGTCGGAAGTGCCACCTATTTTTTGTAATATGCTCATACCACCTTTTGAGACTCTTGACAAATTTAGTAGAGGAATGAAAAAGGTGTTTCAGGCTCCGGGACATTGACTGTTTACGACTTGGATTCTGCAACTTTGATGTGTCTGGAAAAAAAAGAGGCAAGAAATGGAGTCAAGATGAACAAAGAGGTGAAAACAATAAAATATATAAACTAGTGTGGGAGACTGAAGATAGTGTGAGAGACCTACAATGGAAAAACAGTGTGAAAAATCTAGTCAGTTCTTGGATTCATTCTGGCTTCCTTAAGACTGACTAGTTGTTTAGAAAACCCAATCATTAACTTGAGTATGAACTATGTAGTTTTAATCATCCTCTGGAGATTAACGTTTCAGGATTACTTGAAACACTCTTGTCATCAAAACACAAAAATGTCATTGTAAAGAGCAAAACAGAACAAACAACATGCTGAATGAAGGAATAAACATAGGGGAACTTTGAAGACAGACAGGGTGAAAGAGCCTCAGGGGTGTAAGAGAGGGTTCGGGGGAGTCAGGCCACCGACAAACCGGTTATCTGGAACATTTCAGCTGCGTATCTCCCACTTCAAGCGCAGCCATATCAGTCCACATTTCAGCGATGCCAATCTTCAGACGTCCCAGTTTTCATGAAATTAAGCATCACGTAATTGCCCCCCATGTAAACAGCAGGGCAGACGAAACAATCCATTTGGCTGAGAAGCTGTTTACAATGTGAAAGTGGCCGTCAGAGTGAGCGAGTCACCGTGAGAGCAATCACGCTAACCCTAGTCTCCGTGTCTCCACCGGAGGGACTTGAAAGGGAGGTTTTCCGTTTGAAAATCACTATCAAACCCCTCAAGGAATAATGTGTCTTAAAAGTCCCTTAAGAAGATTAACCCTTGGCCCCTTTGACCCTACAGTGACGACTGTTAACAGTACGTGATTAAATGCGCACACTGATTGTTTCCTGCTTGGTTAGATATCGACATAACGTAACCTCAAAACCACAACACAGAATCTTACTGGAATCTCAAGACAATTAGGTCCCTACTGAAAAAAAGTCAAGTTTGATTACATACACTGGAATATCACAACCAGAGTTTAAGGTTAGGATGTCAACCGCAATTTTTGTATCCCAACAAGTAGGAGTGAGAACATAATTATCCACTTTGGAAACATATTAAATCCGTTTTAACATTTTTTATGTGAAGTTCAGCGGTAGTTCCCAGTCTGCACAAATAGAGCCATTGCACGTGTTGATAAGCTGAGTGCAGATTTTGTATTTATTTCTCCCTCAGAAGGTTAACTGGCTTTGACAAGCAGATTATAAGACATGAGTGCATTGGCCTCCTGTGCCGCCAAACTGTCACACTAAATAAATAAAGAAATGCCTTTTCATTTGTGAAAGCAAAAGGAAAAAACGGATCGCCTTTGATTAATGACTTGGCAATCCATCTGTCTACCGCATAGTGAGTGCAACCATGAAATGAGGTGAGTGAGTGAGCACTGGTAGCATTCTTTATTATCTAACTAATTTAGCGGGGGTCAACGGACCTTTTTCAACATACGAGAGCGAGCGAGATCATCCATAACGATCGTGGCCAGATTTTCCAGGCCTTCGCTGACAGAAAGCGCTTACACAGCCACGGCGGAGAGCACGGAGGTGTGCGTGTGAGCGATCGCGTTGTGTGTGTGGGTGTTGCTGTGTCTCCTCCTGGAACACTGGGAGCTGTGTGCGCAACGCACACACACACTCCTCTGCTTGAGAGCAACCTCTCAGCTCCACATATACACATCATAAATTAAGATAACCTCTGCTTAAACGAGCTGCATTTTTTTCAGAGCGGTTTTTATAGTGGTGTCATTGTACCGATGCTGATTAATTTAGCAGATTTATTTTCGAACACCGTCACTCCAAAAATAACTTGGGTAAATACTTTGCCTCTGCCAACATGTGTGCTTATGGGGACATATAATGCACACATATTGCTAAGTATTTTTTTTATCTTGTTTTCCAGTAAAAATCTCTAGTTGTCCTTAAAACTAGATTAATTTCTTAAGAAATGTATTCTTGTTTGCTCATTCTCTTATTTTTTGCATTTAATTTTGCACTCATACCCCAGAATTCTAACTTGCATTTAAAACTTGACATTGTACACCGCGAATATAATTGACCAAATAATTGTTGTTGTTCCTACTTCCTACTAATAAGATGCTTTGGATAAAAGTGTCTGTCAAATAAACAATGAATAAATTTAAATGTAGAAGCAAAATTTAATAAGACATAAAACTTGTTTTCAGAGATGATATATACCGTGTGTGTGTGTGTGTGTGTGTGTACTTGTTTATGCTACATTGTGGGGACCAAATGTCCCCATAAGGATAGTAAAACCTGAAATTTTGAAACCTGAAACCTGGCCTGCGGTCCCCACAAGGGAAAAAAATATAAAAAATAGTAAATGATGTTTATCTGAAAGTGTAACAATGCAAACAGGTTTTCTGTAAGGAGTAGGTTTAGGGGTAGGGGATAGAAAATATTGTTTGGTCAGTATAAAATAAACAGAAGTCTATGAAAAGTCCCCACAATTCACAGAAACAAACGTGTGTGTGTGTGTGTACTTGTTTATGCTACATTGTGGGGACCAAATGGCCCCATAAGGATAGTAAAACCTGAAATTTTGAAACCTGAAACCTGGCCTGCGGTCCCCACAAGGGAAAAAAATATAAAAAATAGTAAATGATGTTTATCTGAAAGTGTAACAATGCAAACAGGTTTTCTGTAAGTAGTAGGGTTAGGGTTAGGGTTGGGGTAGGGGATAGAAAATATTGTTTGGTCAGTATAAAATAAACAGAAGTCTATGAAAAGTCCCCACAATTCACAGAAACAAACGTGTGTGTGTGTGTGTGTGTGTGTGTGTGTGTGTGTGCGTGTGTGTATGTGTGTGTATATTAATTATTGCAAAGATATTATTTAAACTGAGCTGGATGTTGACATCACTGAATTCAATGATGAACGGTCTTTAACTTAAAAATGAGTGTTTACTATTGTCATTTTGCATTATTGACACTATTTTCCTAAATTAATGCTGTTCAGTTGCTTTGTCACAATCTGTATTGTTAAAAGCGCTATATAAATAAAGGTGACTTGACTTGACTTATATATATATATATCAGATTTGTCGTTAAAATAAGAAATAAAATTAAAAATACATAAAATACAAACATTTGACAGTATGTATGGTAAGAAAAAACGTCTCGGGTTACTTATGTAACCATGGTTCCCTGAGGGGAACGAGACACTGCGTCCTCTAGGGGTCGCTATGGGGAACGCCTCGTCGTGACTATTTAAATGTTTTGTTAATAAATTTATGTGGTAAGATGTTTTACTGAAAAGCAAAACAAAAATGAAGAAAATGTTTTTTTGCAATGCACATACCCACATTCTCTCTAAATGAAAACAGACAAAGACAGATGTGTTATTTTTGCATAGTTTCTACTGTTTTTCGGCTTTCCACATCAATAAAAACTCTCATACAGTGTTTTTCTCGTAGAATCAATTCAATAAATGCATTTGTGACACTGGCAGCCATTGTTCTGACATCATTAGTGTTGACTTCTAAACAGATGAGTGATACCGTTTTTTTGCTCACCTCCCTCCTGCGTGTGGCTGGCTGCATAGCTGGCTAATGAAGTTGCTGTTTGTGAGCAGCGCAGTACTGTCAGCACCAGGAACAGCGTTCTTCTATACCTCGGCAGCCAGCCTCTGGGTTAGAGAGTGGGCTTGAGGCCAAAGCAGACTGTCTACGCTTCACGCTACGTCCAGCCTGCCTCGTTTTAAAGGTGTCTGTGCTCGAGCCCTGTGATTTACAGTGCTCCACTATACGGACGACATGTTTGACACATAGATGTTAAAATTTAAAATGGATAAATGTATTAAAACTTTATTTATTTACATGTCCTCCTCCCCTTACTCGCATGAAGAGCGTAGGAGGGCAGGCAGCAGGAATGCTGAGAGAGTGTATTCATACTGCTCTGGATGGCCATACTTGAGTCAAAACACTTTGCCCATGCTTCATTTCGTCACTTTAATACAAAATTAATCTACTGGAAGAAGTGCAGACTTAGAAGATGAGAGGATTACAGGAGGGAGGGATTTCTTGTGAGTGGGCAGATGGGTGGAAGTGAGAGAGAAATGGGCAGGGAGAAAGAGATGATGAGAGTGAGAGCATTATGAGAGACAGACGAGGGAAAGACCAAACACAATAAAGAAAGCAAATAAAAGAGCACCAGCTGAGCAAAAAAATTAGATGATGAGGATGAAGTCATCTGGTGAATTTCACAACAGAACTTCCTGCTCTGATTCAGCTCTGATCTACCTACTTTTAGATAGATATATGCATATTTTAAAAATCAAGCAATCAGTGCAAACTCTGTCTAACTCTCTTTCTCTCTCTCTCTCTCTCTCTCTATATATATATATAATCACACAGTGCATTCAGAAAGTATTCAGACCCCCTTCACTTTGATCAATTTTGTTATGTTGCAGCCTGGTACTACAATTGTTTAAATTAATATTTTTCTCATTAATCTACACTCCGTACCTCATAATGACAAAGCGAAAACCAAGCGAAAACCAGAACCATGAGGTCAAAGGAACTGCCTGCAGAGCTCAGAGACAGGATTGTATCGAGGCACAGATCTGGGGAAGGCTACAAAAAAATTGCTGCACTGAAGGTTCCAAAGAGCACAGTGGCTTCCATAATTCTCAAATGGAAGAAGTTTGGCACAACCAGGACTCTTCCAAGAGCTGGTCGCTGAGCCAAACTGAGCAAATGATGGAGAAGGGACTTTTCTAGGCTGGTGACCAAGAACCTGATGGTCACTCTAGTTGAGCTCCATGATCATATATGCAGATGGGAGAAACCTACAAAAGGACAAACATCACTGTAACACCGATCTGGGCTTTATGGTGGTATATAACTCAATCCTCTTCTCAGTGAAGACACATGAAAACACACTTGGAATTTGCAAAACAGCACCTAAAGGACCCCCAGACTCTGAGAAATAAGATTATCTGGTCTGATGAACCTCAATTCTAAGCATCATGTTTGAAGGAAACCAGCTCTGTTCATCACCTGCAGAGTACCATCCCAAAAGTAAAGTGTGCTGGTAGCAGCCTCATGCTGTGGGGGAGTTTTTCAGCAGCAGGGACTGGGAGACTGGTCAGGGTTGAGGGAAAGATTAATGGAGCAAAGTACATAGATATTCTCAATGAAAACCTGTTCCACAGCGCTCAGGACCTCAGACTGAGCCGAAGGTTCACCTTCCAACATGACAATGACCCTAAGCACACAGCCAAGGCAACACAGGAGTGTCCTCTGTGAATGTCCTAGAGTGGCCCAGCCAGAGCCCTGACTTGAACCCTATCGAACATCTCTGGAGAGACCTGAAAATGGCTGTCCACCGACAGTCCCCATCCAACCTGACCGAGCTTGAGAGGATTTGCAAAGAAGAATGGCAGAAAATACCCCAATCCAGGTGTGCAAAGCTTGTTGCGTCATACCCAAAAAGACTTGAGGCTGTAATTGCTGCCAAAGGTGCTTCAACTAAGTACTGAGTAAAGGGTCTGAATGCTTATGTAAATGTGATATTTCAGTTTTTTTCTTTTTAATAAATTTACAGACATTTATAAAATTCTGTTTTCATTTTGTCATTATGAGATACGGAGTGTAGATTAATGAGAAAAAAATGAATTTAAACAATTGTAGTATCAGGCTGCAACATAACACAATTGAAAAAAGTGAAGGGGGTCTGAATACTTTCTGAATGCACTGTATGTATGTATGTATGTGTGTGTATA